AGATGGGATTGTCTCAAGCATATGTGCCATCAGTGCCCCTTTCCTACCCTGACATTTAATAATAATGCAAGGCTGGTTACTGCTATGACAGGATAAGCTTTTAGTTAATTCACTGGTTTCCTACTACTTGAGTATGGAAGCCTTTGCAGTCTTCTCAAGCAACCAGAATTACCAACTTATAGCTACATGTGAAGCAAGGCACCTTAGCATTTAATGTTTTGAGCATCCCAAATGCTATAGTGGGGCCCTTTTCTACCAAAGTATGGCTCTTCTGGCTACTGCTACAGGAACAGAACAACCCTCTGCTTGTCCATCACACATTCCCCTAAGCAAAAAGAAAGTCTGTAAAGAAATAAAATGGTTGGTTCTCAGACAGCATTACCATGACCTTAGAGCTTCCATTTTGGGGATGCCTCATCCTATCTCTGGCATGTGCTCCCATTATGATTTTTAGCTTTCCCTCTTTTTTGAGAATGCATAATCTTCTTTTTACATCTATTCCCCAAGCAACTAGTATGGGTTCTACAGACTGTTTCCTTCTCAAAGGATGCAATATAGTCTAATGGGAAGAATACTAGTTTTGGAGTTAGAATAGCTGAATTTAAATCTTGGTTCTGCTACTTACTACTTAAGTGACTGTAGTCAAATCATTTCATCATCATCATTATCCTCACTAATATTTATAATACTTTTAACATTTGCAAAGCAATTTACAAATATTATCTTATTTTATCCTGATGGAAACCTTGTAAAGAAAATGCTATTATTATCCACATTTTAGAGATAAGGAAACTGGGACCTAGTCACACATCTAGTAAGTGTCTGAAGTTAAATTTGGACTTGAATCTTCCTGGCTTTTTCCCCCTTTATCTGTAAAATAAGAAAATTGATGGTCACTAAGTATTCTGCTAGGCTTAAATTTTAAAATTTGAGTATAAAAGAAACAAACATTTTCTTCTACCCATCCCCTCAACCCCCTTTAAATGTATTTCAACATAACGAAATATAATAGCTTTCAAAATAGTCCTTGAACATCCAAAAATTAGCTAACCCTCTGGTAGGTGGGAATCTAACATTAGAATCATTATTGGATACTTTAATATTTTGATGGATATGTGATATCATTGATTTGGTCATTCCTTCCAACACCATAGGCACATGCAAATACATAAATTCACCATGTGTAGTAGATTATGAAACCCATTCAAGAACTTTTATCTTGAACAATTCTTATTCATGCCCTTTTAAGTCCTCCAGAGTGAGCACTGCCCAGTACACCGAAGCCCTTCTTCTAAATGGAGGGTTCTTAATTTTTTTTTTATGTCGTAGACCTCTTTGGCAGTGTGGCAAAGCCTATGGATTCCATCTCAGAATGTTTTTAAATCCACAAAATAAAATGCATAGGATTAAAAGGAAACCAATAATATTGAAATACAGATCACCACATTCACAGACATCACATGAGGAATCTAGATCTACTGACAACTGAATAGATACCAATGGAGTAGAAGAGCCATCTGTAATGGAATTCTTTATTCCATTTCTCCTGCACAGTTCATCAGTAACTTGTTGCCAAATACTGTGAGGAAATGATAGATATCATTACTGTGGGCAGGGTGGGGAAGGCAATTGAGAAAGTTTCAATAACTGTCAATCTGCCTATCTTCAGTAACTCCAAAATATCTTTATGAAAATAATCTGCATGTATATAAAAAGCATACTTGATGAAGGTATTAGAAGGCTCACAGATCACATTTACAGCAGTTCAAATCTTTACAGTAATATCATTGACAGAATGGTTCACAGAATATAAGTTCCCATTGTTTTTATTTGTTACAAGCAAAAACAAATCAATACAGGGAAATGCCCCTTTTAAGGTTAACCTAGGAGGTGTCTCCCAAGCATTTGCCATATCATACAAGAGTAATTGAAAGACATAACAGCAGAGATAACTTTGTTCAATTTCCACCATTAGATTTAGAATTTCTTCAGTTCACAGGCTGTTTTTTTGTTTGTTTGTTTATTTGGGGTTTTTTTGGTTTGTTTTCTGTTGTTGTTGTTGTTTTCTGTATCTCCACAGCTTAGTATAGTGTCTGGCACTAAGTAGGTGATTAGTAACTGCTTGTTGACTGACTGCTTGACAAGAAATTTGTGATTTTTAATATCAAAGAAGGCATAAAATGGGTTTTCTGCCACTGTCATTAAGACATTTATCCACAAAGAAAGTTTTTGGTTAAATACTTTATTGAATTCTAAAGATACCATATTCTCTGCACTCTCTTGGTCTATCGGTCTATTAATCCTTTCCAAAAAAAAAGCAATTGTCTTAATCTGTTATGATTTATTGTTGGTGTTTCTATACAGGTCAATATTGATCATTGTTCCTTTTCTGTGTTCTCAGCCATCCTTTTCTTAAAATATTCTAGAGTTTTTCCAGAAAATTATAGAAGAGAGATTTGTTGCGGTTAATGGTACATCAGAAAACATCCTAATTTTTTTTATCATCCTCGTCATGCATCAATTCTCAAAGTTTCCACAAATAATTAATTGAGGTAATTTAATCTCTTCCTTTATTCTTGAAGTAAAATATCTGGCAGAGAGAGAAGCATTGCTGGAGTAATATAGATGGATAAATTGAAAGACACCAATGTTCTCCTACAAAATGTCAACTCTTCTAGTCTCAAAATGTATTAACCGAGCTAGCTCATTTTACCCTTCCAGCTTGTGATCCCATCTCAATTTATAAACATTATCATCTCCTTCAGTCTGTCCCCTCCTTTGTACAATCACCACCATCTCTCTATTAGTTTCTATTTCTACTAAAAGGAAAACAAGATTCTACTATCCCAGTCCCCCACTGTCAATAGTATCTTTCTGAAGGATGTTTTGCTTTATTTTGTTTTGGGAGGAAGGATGAAAGGTAATACTTCTCAACCTTTTTCATTATATATTACACTGGTAATTTTCTAAATTTGCAAGAGAGAAGTTAACCCACACTCACTGATGAAAACTAATGTTAGAAGACTGGGGAGTACAGGACAATGGGGGAAAATGTCTTACCATAATAACAAACAGAAGGGGGAGAAGCTATTTATTTATTTGGTCTTGATACTTTCCTCATGTTTATTAAGCCTGCAGTGCCTGGCACAGGCCTTCTTGGGCTGCAAGTACAAGGCTTGTATTTTTTACCTTTATAGAATTTCCTGAGATTCTCTTTCTGAGTCTGATTGATGACATTCAATGGATTTGCGGATAACTTTGAACTCAGATGGTTTGGATGCAGAATTTCCACTAACCTTGGCCACTTGCACCTGGGGAAGTTCTACCTTCAGGCCATCTGTCTGAGCTGTTCTTCCTTCTTCTTCCCAGGAAGAACTATCTTCACTAGGATCACTGCTGTGCTATATTGCCACTGGCACTGAAAGGAAAGAAAAAAGGAGCCTTTCTAATACATATATGATTCATTATACCATATTATTTGTGTATCATATTATGTTATTCATGCATTTTATTATGTTATTTGTATATTGTATTATTTGTGTGTTATGGGGTTTTTTTTTTGTATATTGGTTATGTATATCATTGTATCAGAACGTAAATTCTATAAGAGTAGAGATCATCACCCAGAACCTCATGCATTGCTCTGCACAAAATAGATGCTGAAACATTTTTTGTTGGGTTGACCAAAGTAAAGAAATTAATAAAATGCAACAAAATAGTTTTGAAATATATGAGTGATTCCTAGCACACTATAATTGGAATATAGAGATAATCATTGAATAAAAGGACATATGTATTGTGGAAAGGGAACAAGATTTGGTGTTAGAGAGCCTCAGTTTAAATTCCCCTTCTGCTAGTTATAAACTGCGATTTTGGTAAGTCTGGGCCTCAATTTCTTCATTACTTTTAGTTCTAAATGTACAATCCTATGAGAACCTGTGGATTCTTCTGTCATCACGTGAGACTACAGCTTTGCCTCCAAGCCTTAACTTCTTACCAAAGGATTGTAGTTGATCTAATGGTTCTACGGACAATCTATGAAACACTTCATATCCTTCAGCATTGGATTGTAAATATTTATGCTAATCATAACTGCATACATTCGGGGCCTTAAATGTCTTCCTTCTACTTGTAGTAATATTAAAATTGATAGGTAACTCTGAGTCTGAAGCCAACTAGCTAAATTAGGAATAATATGTGAAAACCTAGATCTCTTCCCTGTGACTCTAAATTATATCCAGCATAACTGCTATTTTAAGAAAGTGAGATTTAGTTTCTGTGTTCTTGGACCCAGAGAAGAGTTCATACTAGAAATCTTTTTTCCTTGGAAAATAAGCTCTTTTGGAATGATGCCAATAATATTCAAAAGAGCATCATGGTGGAAAACCTATAACATTGATTGGACTGTAGTGAAGGATGGATGGGAGGAATTTGTGAGGCTGAGCCCTCTTGTACTAAAGTTCAAAAAGCAGAAAAATAATTATAAGGCCTGAAATACAAGGACAGACAAGAGAAAGAAAGCAAGGTTGAACTAGCTCATCTTCAAATGAAGAAATATAAGGCTTCCACAAACTGAATCAACTTTATTGGCAAATGACTTGCACAGAAATAAAATAGAAGAGGACATCTAACAAATGCAACTTTCACTTTAAACAAATTTCAGCATATGATTTTACTGTATTTAAAGTAACTCTTCATGAATGCACATTTCTGCTTTGTATGCCTCTTGATATTTTCATTTAAAAGGGAGTTGCTGTGCAAAATAATGTCCTTGTCTGTCCCTTCCTCATACAAACCTCCAATCAAATTTAATAAAGCTAGTTTGATACAATGCCAGCCTACACTTGGTTTACCCTTGTTCGACTTTAATAGGGTCAAAAATATTTTCGCATTGGCAGTGTACGCATTAATCATTTTTCCAGAGGATTTGGAAAATTGGAAGAGACAAGGCCAAGCAAAATTTTAAATTAATTGGGCCTACCCCAGCATTCCAGGGTCACCTTGTGTCAGTTGTCCCACATTTTCCAGGTCATGGAGTTCTTGTGTATCCTACAGCTGCCACAAGGAGAGATCCGTGCTGTGGGCGCACAAAGGTGAAAGAATTTCTCTCAGAAAGTGTGAATTTTCCTACGGGCAACCACAACAATTGCAGCTTCCAGATTGTCGCCAGACACCAACCACTTAAATAATGCATGCTCGGCTGACGCCTCTACTTGGGCATTTTCTAATCGAGTAGTCAGGGAAATTTGCAAACACTCTGTCGTTTACCATAAATCCAGTGCCTGCTTATAACGATGGAGTAATTAATTTTAGTGCTGCTCGGAATTATTAATTTCAGCTCGGAATCTGTTTTCACAATGGCTGTTAAACCCCGCACCCCCTCCCCCCACCAAACATGCACCGAAAAGGTTCAAACATCAATGTGCTTTTCTTACAGGGGAAGTCTTGTCTTCTGCTAAGGTTAGCTGATCTCTTCCAACGGGACACCAATAACCGCATCCACATTTCTGATTGGAATCTACAAAAATACTCCCTCAGTTCTGGACTGCCCGGCCAGCTGAAGTGGGTAACACAAAAGAAGAGAAGCTAGTAAACTCTTTCTTAGGAGAGAAGTACTTAATTTCTAAGCTCCTAAAAGAGCTTACTGTGTGGCAGGCTACATCTGAACTGCTCAGTTCTCAAATATAAGGGAGGCAAAGTACTGGACAAAAAAAAAAAATCAGAAGGCAAGAAAGTTGCCATGTATGTTTTATCACATGTTTAAATATTCCTTCCATTGGACAATAAGGAAGAATCTTTTCAGCGGATAAAAATGGATTGTATTAGTAAAACTCAATTATGAGAACTCTAGTGTGAAACTGGCAGTAATCACTTTTCATATCCAACACACACAGTGAAAATTGAGTATTAAATATTGTGTATTTTTATCTCAGTAAAGCTGACTTTGGCACTCTGTTGTTGGATATTAGTTTCTGACTAAAGCAGCTGCATGATCTGTCATAGGAATGTCCATATTATAAATATATAACGAGCATGAGAACATTGGTGCAGCCTTGTTTGACTAATGGTTGGATCCATCTTTATCAAGATCATGTACAAATAGCTAGCACAACTATTGGAAATTTAATTGCCATGGAAGGTTTTTTTTTCCCTTTTCTACTGCACGACTGATCAAGAAAAAAATAAAGGAAAAGCAAAGTAACATCCAGAATTCTAAACATTCTTCACTAAGGAATCAGACTTAGTTAAGTAAATTCCAGGATGTTTGTGGTTATTTGGGTTTAAACACTGCTGATACTTCTGTCTCCTCCTTTTATAGAACTGTGTTGTTTGGCAATGTTGTCGTTGTTGTCGTTGTTGTTGTTATTTCAGTTTTTGCTTTCTTTTGTGGGGGAGGATTGTTTATGTATTTCTTTTTATTTTGCCTTCATGTTGCTTTCTAAAGCTAGTTTCATTCTTTAGAAGACCAGTAACCCTTTGAATAGAACAGCAGACCGGTTCCCTGTTTAATGGAGTGAGGGGATCATTCAGTGTTAATGAAATTACCTCCTAGAACAAAATGCTGACACAAAAAAGGTGATGTAGGTAAAAGCAAATGATTTAAGAGCAGGTTTGAGGAAAAACTGACATCCCAGAATGATGAGCTGTTGTTGCTATGGCATACGGTGCTACCAAATTGGAAAATGCTGCTGTCTCATTAATAGTTGAAACAACTGCAGTCATATTCAATTTGGAGAGGTTTTAACCACAGTCAAAGGAATGGAACAGTATTTTTTAAGTGAGAAAATATATGATTAGCATAAGAAAATGTAATTTAATATCTCTCTTGACCTGAAACTGTGCCATAGGTGTCAAGAGACACAGGTTGTTTTCAAATTTAAGTGGAGTCATACGGACCATGAAAAGTGTTGCTGAGAGTCAAACTTCACAGTCCAAATCTTCAGTGAGATTCAAACATTCCCAATTATCTAATTCAAGCTATCTCATTGCATTTGGGGCCTCTTCATTACATGTTCCAGGTTTTCTACTTCTAGGATGCCAAAACTGTTGCTCATTTAATTAAAGTCAAGAGAGTCCGTTTGGGACACTTAAAAACAAGGAAATGCTGGAGAGCCCAAAAACCCTAGAAGGCAAAGAAAAATCTCAGTGGCATCTCTCCTATGCTATTAAAGATTCCAGAGTTTAGAGGAAGCAGGCTCTCACATAGTTCTGACCTCACCCTGGCTGTTGGAGTTGTTGTTGTTATTGTTGTTGTTGTTGTTGTTGTTGTTGTGTCGTGGGTTTGGGGTTTTGGGAGGGAGGAGAGAGTTTGGAATAATGAAGCTGGCAAACATGCCTTTGGAATGCATAAGAAGAAAACACTGGATTCTTTCTGCTTTGGGGTTACAACGTATAGCCCTGAGTTACTAAACCTCCCAAACTGATCAAATATATTTCTTGTGTTTTGCATTCAATTCTTAAATTGTCTGGACCAAGAGAGAGGCTCATTAAAAAAAAATTAATCATTGGGATAAATAATTCAAATGTTATGAAACTAAGCCAGAAACAGGACAGAGTTCAACTCCATTAATTAGTCATTACAAACTACTGACTTGTAACATAATACAAGCAACGGTTTTGGCATAAAGTGTTGTGGAACTATGTCCTGTGTAGTAAGTTAGGGCATAAGATTTTTTTTTAAAAAACCTATTAAAGTTTCTATTTTTCCCATTATTATTTGGCACTGAATTGTGCCATCACTGGGGCATTGTGTTACTAACATTATTTTTCGTATTAATCAAAAACATTTAAACTTTAATTCAAGATATTTTGTTTAAAAGCAGCACTATGTAGCTCCTCACTGTATTTTGACAGCAAACTGAATTCTTGTTCACAAGTATAGGATTTGTTTAGCTCCAGGCATCTGTGTTTGGATTACGAGAATGCTGATTGGTTCACTGCCAGGGGCACACAAAGGTCAAGCTGTACTTTTTTAAAGACTCCCACCCCACCCCCCCTTTTTTTTTTACTTAAGAGTTTGGCTCATTAATCAGAGTTAAAAGTAAGGGGAAAAGGCAGTGACTTGAAATCATTTGATTCTTTTTCAAGGGGTATTTTAAAAATCAAAACTTGCCGTTAGTGTTAGAGGTTCAGTAGATGTTTGTATGGATCACACTGACATAGTTCTGACAGGTGACCTAAAACCTTTCAAACTGACATCTGTCACAGAGACAGACAGAAGTTTTTTAGCCCGAGAGCCTGTTTTCCTGACATTTCATTTTTTCATCAGATTTTGCGAGAAGGGAAAAAAAAAAAGATGAACTTGAAAAAATCTTGCCAGGGGCAGAAAATGAGATCAGGTTTTCTGCAGCTGTCTAAGTCACCTTTAAAGGTTAGAGGTCCAGAAAAAGTGAACGAAAAGGTATGAGTTTGATGTTATTGGCTAAAAGGACAGATTACCTTTTAAAGTGCATTCCTACCCCCTTGCTTACCTACTGGACAGTGTTTTGGCAGGGATGCAATTCAAGGTGAGTTTCCTTATCCCATATGAACCTCAGTTTTCAAACAGTCACAGGACAAATCAAGTTCAATCTACTATCTGGTGCACACACACATACATACACATACACGCACACACACACACACACACACACACACTCACACACACACAAAGCATTCAATCCACAGGTGCACGAATTTTCCCACAAGTTGACTTCTTTTCCACTCTGTGATATTTGAAATGGTCAGAACACCTCAGGAATAATACTGAACATTTTTATTTTCACTATAGTATAAAAACTGCATAAAAACAAAATGTTATTGTTAGTTAGCTTGCACATGGCCTGATTTTACTTTTCTCCTCTTGAAGAGCAAATTATATAGATAAAGTCCATGAACACTAGTCTTACTACCAAATGGTTAATTCTCAGAAGAAGCTACAGTTTAGTTTTGTGAGAAAAACAAAACTTTTGAGATGAAAATGTTTGCTTACTAAGGTGGAAGTGGAAATGGCTTTAGTGACCAATAATGTCAAGGCCTCCGGCACATCTCATGGCATCCCAGGGGCTACACTTGTTTCACTATAGATCTGCCCCCTCCCTGTACCCACCCAGCCCATGCCCTGCCACCCCACTACAGAAGGGTGGTAAGCACCATAGCATTGAAGGGATCAGTATCTATCCATTTACTTGATAGCAAAAAAGAGAAAGACAACTTCTCTGCCACTTCAGGCTACTGAGGTTAAGTCAGTGTTCCGGTAATAATTAAATTGTGTTTACAGGACACCTCTGTCCCTTCCTCTTTCTTCCCTTAGTACCTGAGTTTCATTTGCCCCACACAGGATTAAGGGCCTCTGTCACCAGTACAAGGTCATCTTGTCTCTCATATGCTCCAAAAAGTAAAATTCCATTGTGGAAACCTACTGGCTCTCATTTACTATCAAAGATTAGCCTAAAATGCAAGTCTGACCATGCTACTCAATAAACTCCAGTGGCCTGTCATTCCTGTCACCTCCAGGATCAAATTTAAAACCCTCTGGCTTTTAAAGCCCTGTGTAACCTGTCCCCCACCACCACCCTCATCTTTCCAGTCTTCACACACACACACACACACACACACACACACACACACACACACACACAAAAGCCCCTCTGCCATGCACTCTGCATTTCAATGACGCTAGCATCCTAGAACAAGACATTCCATGTCTTGTCTCCAGGCATTTTCACTAACTGTCCCCCATGCCTGAAATGGACATATTCCTCTCCTCCTGGCTTCCCTGGCTTCCTTCAGGTCCCACCTAAATTCCTACTTTCTACAGGAAACCTTTCCTGATCCTCCTAAATTCTAGTGCTCTACTTGTGTTGATTATTTGTTATTTATCTTGTTCTATACATCGTCGTTTGCATGTTGTCCCCCCTCTTAGGCTGGGAGCTCCTAGAGAGCAGGTACAGTTTTTAACCTTTGTTTGTATCCCTAGGGTTTAGGTCAGTGCCTGGAATGTAGGAGGCACTTCATAAATACTTACTGACCGACAGGCTAACTCCCCTGCGGCCCTATGGGTCCAGCATTAGCAGATTTCACTAGCAGGTCAGGGGATTATGATGATGCATAGTTCTCAAGCTCTAGTCTGTGCCAGTAATCTGAAAAGTGGTAGGAGTAGAACAGGAGAAATTAGTCAACAATAAGGACAGCAGATTATGCTGAAGACAGAGGGAATAATTAAGCCAATTTATGTAGAAGGAAAATAACCACGGTCCCCATTATGGTGGCTCCACCGTTGCCACCCGCTAAAGTATTTTGTACCTAGTAATTTTCATGTGTTTTCCCCATTTGATTGTGAACTCCTTGATGTCAAGGTCTGTCTTTTACTTCTTTTCGTATCCCTAGCACTTAGCATGGCACCTGGCACATAGTAGGCATTTAATAAGTGCTTACTGACTGACTTTCAGCCAGTAACTATATTAGAAAATACTCAGCCTTAGCATCTAACTAGGATAGAATTCATGTGACACCTAACACAATCATTTTACATAAACTTAATTCTGCCCACTTTGCCTCCAGGTGTACCCAATGGAGTACAAGTGAACTGACCAGCTATTTTGAAATCTCCCTGAATCTATCCTCTCTATAAGGGTCTAGCCCAGACTAGCTTGTTTACAATGAGCATAATTTCAGTGTCAGTGAATTGGCTGCATCCCAAGATTTCAATATTAGTGAACCCTTCTTCCTAATTAATGTTTAGTATGGTAAATAGATGATACTTATCAAATTGTTCTGATATGTTAAATGTTAAGTATGTGGGAAGGTCAACTCTCATACCCATAGAAAGAGTTCAATATGGCAAAGTGCTCTTTTGTGTTAAGCTTGGTTGAAAGCTTGGTAATATATTGATGTCATGCCTCAGCTAGTAGCTTAGCAATGCCCTGCCTTTCTTTTCCTATTTTTCTACTCTACTTTATCAACGCTTTTCTGCTTAATCCTTTTTAGGCAAACAACAGTACTTGTTAGTACCTCTTGAGAGAGAAATCTAATGGAACATATCTTCTATTTTCTCATAAAGTGTCTGTCTTGGGATATGCAGCACAGTGAAAGTAACTTGAGCTGCTTTTGCAGTCATGGATTTTTTTTTTTTTTGCCTTTTCATGGAATCCTTGACAAGCATTATGTCAATTATATTGACAAAAAATAAGCAGTTTTTAAAGTAGCCATCTACTCTGTCCAGTACTACCACTGTCCTGGTCTGCTGGGATAATCAACAGGCTGGCTTAAATTAGGGAAACATAAAAGTATCCACAGGTCAATTCACAACCTTTAATCAGAAATCATCTGTGGAGTTAGTAAAAATGAAGAAACTCAAAGGGTCCTCTAATACCTTTACTCCAGGAAATAACCCAGGAATTAGGTCAATTCAACAGGGTACCTCAGAAAAAGACAGGGATGGCAAAACTCAAGGTTCAAGGATGCTCATTGTTGGCTGAAAGCCATATTCCATGCTCCCCTGTTTTTAAGCCACTTCCTCTTGGTCTAAGGATCCCACAGACTGTCCTTTAATGAATATCATCACTTGTCTTGTTGTTCTTGGCTTGTTGCTAATTGATTTTAAAATATTATAACATTATACACCAGACAAGCACTCAATAAATGTTCTTTGATGATGATATCTTGGTAAAGATTACATGATAGATGCTGGAAAAAAATTATATGCTAGTTATACATCTATTGAATTAATAGTATAACTAGTCATGCTGTTCTTTCCAATAAGCTTCCTTATGATTCCACCAACCTATGCCTTGACATTCTTGATTTCCCTTTGAATTTGATTAAATAATTATTTCTTAATTAATAATAGTTTATAGGCTTGATTATGTCTTTACCTTTTGAATACTGGATGCTATTTCTTACAGGCCTTAATGTGACTTTAATGGCCACAGCAATGAGCATTTCTTGGATTTCTTAAACTGGGTGTAATTTGAGGATGCATAATCGGAAAATTTCTGCTCCTCTAACATTTACTTATTCTCAATGACATAAAACTCAGGGACTGCAGTTTATAAGTGCTACTTGATATCCAAGAACAAGCCAGACCCATTTATGAGACTTTTAAAGCCATTCTTTTTCAAAACAAAAAGTCACATTGTTCCAACATCATGTGAACTGGAGCACCAGAAAGTTCAATTTCAGTTCAGAACTGCAACCCAGATGATTTAAATGGATTTTGAACTTGGCGAAGCATCCTAGGTTCAGTTTCAGAAATTTTAGAAGGAAAATTCAAACAGAGTGACACTTCATACACAGCAAATAAAGTTCATCTGATAAGTTTTTTGGGGGAGGAGGAAATATACTGACAAATGTAAGCTTTTCTATTTTCACCTCTCTTAGGAGCAAGGAATAAGAAAAAAAGGACAAGTAGATTTTGGGTCATGTCCACACTTGGTCAGTAAAAGAGACTATGATACTGAAAATAAAAATCTACTGGTGCCAGTCTTCACAATCAATCACTATTATCCACTGAGGAGGCTGCTCCTGGGAGACAACATTAGCTGAGGCACCTTTACATCAGATTACTAAAATGAATCTTGTCTATTTAGAAATAGTTGGTTTCTACACTTAGTACTTTCCCTGTTTGTTTTGTTTTTGTTTTTTTAACCAGATTTGCAATTTCATTGTTACAGGGATCTCCCAGATAGGAAATTTCCACTATCCAAGTGTGTCAGCAAATGCTCTGTAATTTATAGTCTAACAGAGTCACCTAAAATACTAAGAAGTCATGACTTGCCCAGGGTCACATAACCACTATAATAATTAACAAATTCCTGTCTTCTCTTTCTGTAGTCTCTGTGATTAATTCAGAGTTGCCATCTAGGCCTGGGGAAAATATTTTTCCTCATCCCAAACTGTCCCTATCTAGCTTAGTCCCCTGACACTTTAAAGTCCCTGTTTCCTTCACCTTCTCTTTTATTTTACTCCCTGAAACTTTTGTTCTATCATTAATAAATTATCTTTCTTCCTCACACTAGTGTTTTAACAATCTTTTTATCTGTTACTGCTCAAGAAATCTTTCCGTTCTTCTAAGGACTTCATTTCTTTCCACCTTTCCAGAACTGGCCATCTCTTCTTGCATGACCTCGACACAATGGACCGGGAGAATCTCTTCACTGTCTTAACCCTATGGTTAAAGAGATCCATAAGGTATTAACTTCTATACCAGTATTCCTTGCTCCTTTGTCCTATCATTGCTCAGATTTGGCCTCTCATCAACTCTGGGTCAGCCCTACCATCTTCCATCATCGTTCTCATTCCCAAGAAGCCATAAAACATACTTTCTGGTTCAGTCCTCTATGACTTCATGTTCTCTAACTTCAACTGAATCTTCAGTGCTGCATGGCAATTCTCTAGTTGACCTTTTTGTCAGATTCTTCAACATAGCTATTCTAGGCCTTGTTTTTTCTTTGCAAACCTCAAATACTCTCCAACCCCCTCTATATCAGCAAATCACCAAGCTAGAATCTTGACATTTTAATCAAAAAGCATTAAACTAAAAGGTAAGTGGGAATCAAGAAAAATTGCCTATGTGTATCTATCATGCTATATGAAGAAAGTAGCTACAAAGAAAGAAGACCTGCAGGAGAGAGAATCTGAAATTCATGAAACAAAATCCAAGAAAGGAGTCATCAAGAAAACACATAAAATCAGATTTCTATGTAGAAGTAAATAATATACATGTAACAAGCCAGGAAAACTACTAATCTCAAAGCAAGGAGAAAAATTTGACCTCATGGTCATCACTAGGATTTGGTGGGACATGCCGTGTGCCTGGAAAATAGCTCTAGGAGGCTATGATCTAATTAAATAAAATAATAATATGGCAGAAGAAGTAGCATTGTATATGTTTTTTTAATTTTTTAATTAATTTATTTTGAATCATTAACAATCACTTCCATAAGCTTTTGAGTTTTAAATTTTTCTCCCTCTCCCTCCCAACCTCCCTCCCCTAGATGGCATGCAATCTGATATAGGCTATACATATACATTCCTATTAAACATATTTTCACATTAGTGATATTGTAAGTTAGAATTAGAACCAATAGGAAGAACCACCAGAAAGAGGAAACAAAACACAACAGAAGAAAAAAAATAGCAAATAGTATGCTTTGATCTGCATTCAAACGCCATAGTTTTTTCTTCTTCATGGATAGAGTTTTCCATCACGAGGCCTATGGAGATGTCTTAGATCCTAGTATTGTATATTAAGAAGAGATATTTATTTGAAAAAATCTGAGAAGAACAGTGAAGGTGGTGGAGAGTATTTGGATGAAGGTCAATAAGGAAAAACCTAAAGAGATTGTCATTGGAATCTATGACAGACCACCTACATAGAAACAGAACAAACATGGAGTTCTAGAAACAGAACTCACAAGTCTGACACAGAGGTGTGTATAACTAATGACTGAAAACATATTTAATTAAGCATTATATGTCAGTTACTTTACTAAGTGCTAGGGATACAAATACAGTCAAGCAAGACTGTCCCTGTCCTTAAGAAGTCTACACTATAACAAAGACAAAATATACAAAGGAGCAGTGGCTGGGGAGAGGCTGCTTTGGAGTATAAGTCAGAGTAAATGGTTATCAAGCAATAGGGCAATCAACTGAGATGTCTTTATCAGCAATAATAGTGTTGATTTGATTACTGGCATGATGTAGTGAGGATGGGGAACTTCAATTATCCAGACATCTGTTGGGGCTCTCTGCCAAAAAATAGCGTGGTTAATAATTTCTTCATTGGACTTAATGATAATTCATTCTTCAAAAGGTAGAGAAATATGATCAATGCAATAACCAATCACAATTTCACAAGTCTGGTGATGAATCATGATTCCTATCTTTTGGTGAAGAGTTGAGAGACTAGAGGGACAGAATGAAACATAACATTTTTCAGACATGGCCAGTGTGTAAATATATTTTGTTCTTTATTACAGGGGAGTGCATTTTTTCATATTTATTTTGTGTGGTGGAGAATCATGGAATGGAAGAGGAGGAATAATAGCGATAGCAAAACAAATTTTAATAAAGCCTAGAAAAGAACATTATTGTCACCATCATCATC